AATGATGATAAATGATTATTGCAAATGTGCAATACTGCCCATTGAAAGGTTAACATTAATTACATATAATTATAACAATATTTTGACTATTTTAAGATTTATAAAATAAGACAATTATTATACCACAGATTGAATATTTTATACAAGACTATTATAGAACTTTAAAATAAACTTTATATAACTTTCAATAACAAAAAAAAAAATTGCAAGTTTTCCATGCATTTTTTTATATTTTCATTTCATAATGGCTTATAACTTTTTTACTATTGTACAACTGTAATTAATAACCTTAATATGAATATATTTTAATATCTTTATCTTAAATAATATGGATCAAATAATAATTTTGTTGAATAATTATTGATTATTTAATAAACGTTTAAATGAAGTAATAAATAAATAAAAAATATAATTGTTTTTTATAAACTTTAGAACTATATTAATAGTGTTGGTATAAAAATTATAACGAAAAATTAGTTACAAATTGATTAAACATTTAATAATTTTATTTTCAGGAATGTCATAGATGTTGGTGCTCTTCATAGCTGTATTGACCAACAAGAGGTTATTGAACGTCAAAACCTTTATACTGCAAAACTACAAATTGTTCCTCTTTCATCTGTTGCTAATACTGTAGTCAGTTTAAGACAAAATCCTGCTTGTATATTAAAAGATGTTCCTGGACCTGAGCGGGTATTATCGAAAAATTTAGGTTTACCAGAAAACTATCGTGGAATAATGGCTCATGTAAATGAAATACAAAGACTTTTATCTTCAATGAGTGTGGAACATAAGGGTGATTTAGTTGTTCAGTTTTGAATCTAATATATGCTTTTTTTATAATATATATTTAAATTTATCATTTATGTATTATATAAATATTTATACACTATTATTATATTATATTACTATACATAAACATGTGAATATAATAAAAATTTATAAATGTAGTTAAGATTTCTGAATAGGAGGGACATGGAAAAAGTACAACATGAATCCAGTTCCCATAAACAAGTGTAAAATTATTATTAAAAATATAAAAGCAAATGGTTTCTGTCCTAAAGAAGGCACAATTGAAGATACAATAACATAACCTGACACCAATGTGCCAGCTGCGACCAAAAGCCATTGCAACCAGTTAATCTGTATTACCCATAGAATGGAAATTGGTACAAATATTGATAGAGAGTATCCATATAGACACAACAGTTCCAAGTAGCTGAGGTTGAACTATACAAACAAATTAAAAAATTATTATAATATACATATTTTATGTATAAACTTATAACATATTGGACATAATAAATTATTAAAAATTAGAATGTTTTAATTTTTAAAAAATTATCAAGTTATTACTAAGTATAATATAAAACGAAATCTATTTCGTAATTAAAATTGTATAGATTTTTTTAATTAAATTGTGAACATGTTTTTTTTAAAAAAAATACACTTTATAAATATTGAAAATTAAATTGAAGCCGTTAACATTTTACTTTCATATATGCAATATATTTATAAAATTATTATTTAAATTTCATTGCACCCAAGAGTGTTCTAACTTATAATAAACAATCTTAATAAAAATTTTAATTCTTATAATATAGTTTTCATGTATACCTGTGGTTCTTTGTACGTAACAAATACCCACAATACTAGTGGTAATAACCAAGCATATGAAAATATTGCTGTAGCTGCTGAAGAAACAGCATGAAAATTATACTTCCAATGGTAGTCATGGCCAGCAGCTACTTGAATGTAATTAGCTACGTTTCCACTGATGGCAATAGAAAACACTAAAGTCAAACATATCCAGAATGGGCCATAAACATCAGGTTTAGCTCTAATGTAGCGTTGCAAGTAGTTCACTCCATAAGTGGGTATCAGAGCTCCTTTAATACGTTCTAGTACATCTTCTGAAGTGACATCAAAATACTTTTGAAAATATTCAATCGTCCAAATTGGATACTTGGGCAAAGGCAGTTCAGTAGGATTTGATAAAGGTGGCATATTTTCGTTTTCCATCGTGCGAAAATCCATTTCTGGAAAAATAGTGACAATGTATTACACATAACATTTTAGAAATAACCAAACAATTACCAAATTAACGTATTTTTTCGTTTCTTAATTTTATAATAGAAATATGAAATGTATATACATATAAAAAACGTTCCAACACTACATAATTATTATAATATATAGAAAAAACTTTTTCAAAACCGATTGTAATAATATCTCTGAATAGTGATGTGTACATAATTTGGAAAATGTTAAAAATCACTTATGAGCATTATCTATTATCAGATAAGCATTTATCATTACCGAGCTACCGTTATGTTATCACTAGATGGTACTGTAATAACATAACCACATACCATCAATAAACTATGCATTTTAGGTTAATAGATTATCAGTCTCTTGTTTTTAATTCCTATTAGGACACGATAACGCCAGGAAGTTGTTTGCTGTTTTCTAAATACATACAAAATTATTTATTTTTGTTTTTTATTACTTTTTTAGACGATATTTTGTTTAATATATTTATTTGTTTTGTGTTTCTTATACTGTATGCTATACAATACTTGATTTTAATTAAATTTATTACTTGGTAACTTAATATAAGTGTTTGATTATTTACACCATTGATATTCATTTAAGAAAAATTTATTTTCTTTTAGTATTTGATCATTAAAAATGGTTATTGGATTACAGCCCTTGGAATTTTCTGACTGCATTACAGACAGTCCATATTTTCGCCAAAAGTTACATGATCATGAAAGAGAATTGCAGAAAACCAATCAGCAAATTAAACGCCTAATAAAAGAACTGAAGGATTTGTTGAATGCTGCTAAAAGTGAGTCATTTATTGAATTATTAAAGACCATTTATCTGAAATAAAAATAAAATATATTAATTTTTTTCGTAGAAATCTGTTTTTAAAAATTAAATTTCAATCCATAAGAATAATTAAATATTGATATTGTTAAATTCAGTGAATTTATGTGTGAAATGAAGTAAATTTAAAATATTGTATGCATTATTGTCAACTGAATATATATTTTAATTATTTTTAATCAGTTCATACATTTTATAGTCTGTTTATACTATGACATTATGTGGAAAATCCAAATATTTAAAATAATACAATTAATTTATATAATATATATATATATATATACACACACAATATATTTTATATAAAACAGATAAATTAATTATACTTAAATATTTAAGTATAGCATAATTCGTATAGTTTTCTTTCATTATGAAAACATAATATAACAATATTTTTGATTTTTTAATTTTAAGAAAAAAGTGTTAGTGAATTTAAAAATTAAATTGGAATAAATGTTTGTATTTGAAGAAAGAAAAAGTCATTATTTTTATTTATTCTCATTTATCTCTAAAGCTTAAATTAATTCTGAAAATAGTTTCATCTTGATATTTTGTTTGTTGTACTTTAATTATGTATCACATTAACATTTTTTATGTCATAAAATAATGTTGATTAATTAATTCTTAGAAGAGATAGTTTAAATATAATAATTTTAGTATATTGATTGAGAAGTGATTGCATTGTTTCAAATATTATTTACTTTATAAGAAAATAATTTATCTTATATTAAAATTTTTCGAAGTAAAGTATTGCACATTTTTTAGATTGTTTTCTATTGATTCTTAAATTGCATAACATATCAGGTTATATTACATAGTAAAATCAGTTTTTTATGGAATCACAAGCATCATAAAAATTATCAAACAGATTTCTGATGTATTGAAAGTGTACAATACCTTCATAATTCTACCGGTACTAAAAGCATTTTCAGCTGTTAAATTTCTTACGTTTTTAGTATCTGTCATAAATGTGTTTACTGTAATATTTGTTCATTATATATTTGACTACAGTAAATAAATTTGTATTAATTCATTTAAATTAAATTATAAATTTATCACGCATACCTAAATTCTGTTAGATTTATATTTTATGTCATAAAAATTAGTTTCCTAGACGATGACTAAATTTATTTTTAGAAAATATAATTTTATATCTCAGGAATTAGCTAGTAAAAAATGAAATAAATTCTTTAAATAACTACTTTGATTATAATTGTATTCATGTCACATAAAAACATTTTATAATTTCCTTCAGAGCAAAATTTAAGAAGTAAAAATATAGGTAAGTGATTAAATAAAATGTGCTTAAAATTAATTTTCCCTTAGATACTTTGATACTTCTCCCTAGAATGCTAACAAAACCGAATTATTACTAAATTATTAATATTAAGTATACTTATGTGGATGTACCATTTTAAGCCAAGATTCTTGGCATCTATATCATACATTTATTTTAAAATGTGTTAACATAATTAATTCCAATGATTTATTTCCTAAAATAATTTTTTTTTTTTTAAAAATATTATTGAATATTATAAACAAAAAGATATTTTATATAAAATAGTTTTGGCTGTTGGTTACAAATTATCACATATTTCTATAATAACTGTTAATAAGATTATCGTTTTTATGTTAAATTCTGTTTGATATATTTCATGATATTTATTTTGGATGGATTTTGATTTGTTCCTATATTCTATTTAATTGGTAACATTTAAAATAATGGAATGATATTACTTCAGATATTTATTCATTTCACATTTATTTGAAAACAATTTACAATTGTTAATACTTCAATGTAACCTTTTATCTATTGATGAGCCATTTATTTAATTTGAAATTTACTAAAACATTCATAACATATTCATTGATTAATTTTAAAATAATGTATTTTGTAACGCTATTTAAAAATTAGTTGATAAGATAATTTTTTAAGTATAACATATTATTTTCTTACTATTTGATTTTCATTATCTATTAACCAAAAAAAGTTATATTTAAGTTTGTAAGTGAATCTTTACTATGATCATATTCAATATTCTAGTTATATTTATATTGTGTACTATTTTATCCAAACTATCTTAACTGGAATTTTTATATACGATTTTATGAGGTTTTGTATTTTAAATGTGTCCAAATATAGGTTTATGTTTTTTGGCATGAAATACATATTTAGTTATATACTGTTATTGCCATCCATACTAAGTTTGTTGGCATGGGACCTTATTATAACTGTGAAAAAGAATATCAGCACATAATAACTAGTACTTATTTAAAATGCATAATCAAGTATGTAGTGTTTCCGTGACTCCGCCTTTGTACAAATAGCATTATTGTCAATCAAAATTCAATTCTTATGTTAATTACATTACACCACGTGGGTTATTTACTGTGTCAGTTAAAGAATGCCTTAAACGTATTACTTATCGAAGGTATTGGTGAATCACAATACGTTTACTAGTACTATTTTTCCTCAACGAAACGTAAATTGTATTTTAAAGAATATCTATTTTAATTGAATAATGTTATTTACATTAAAAGTATTATATTAAAAGTCTCCTAGTATCTCACACTTATAGTGTTGACGTATGCATTTATCCATCTACCTGTTTCATGAAAATATCAAAATAAAATGTCTTTCTGCAATTTGATGGTTTTACTTTGTTTAATTTCAGACTGACAAATATGTTTTATTGTTTTATTTTATTTTATTCATTTTAATAGCTTTAAATTTACTAAAATCTCTTAGAATTGAAAATTCCGTCCATTTTAAAATTACATGTTTATGAGATATACATATTAGGACTTGGATCATAATACTAATATTGGTACAGATACAGTGCTCGTCTTGCGGGGGGACGGAGTACCCCAACTAATTTTCAGAAATTTTAGCGTCCCCCTACTATTATTACGCTATAATCATAACGCTCAGCCAATTTTGGGGACGTTATTTTTTTTAAAGTAAATAGAGTCCCCCTCTTTAATTTTGCTAAGTCGAGCACTGTACAGATATATTCGCTCCTACGTGTATGGGATAAAGATATTCCTGTTAAACTTACTTCTAACTTTTTAATGTTTGTTTTTTTCTAAGACAGATTGTTGCATATAACTAGATTTAAAATATAACCATTTTCAACTAGAGCTCAAATTAGAATAGTTGAGTTTATTTTAGAACATCGTCTTTATTGATAGTCTAAATTAATAATTATTATGTTTATGCGTATCTAATTACATATTCAGTATCGAACACAAACATATTTTATGATTTATCAATTTAATATGGACATATATTTTTAGTAACTATGAAATATATGTAAAAATAACTAAACTGATATCTAAAAAACTGTGTTTGAAAATCAATAATGCTATGGTAAAAGTATTTTTTTCATTTAATTTGTCATTATTACCAATTTATTTTTTGTTATTTACACTCATTAACATTTTTTTATTTTTTTTGTTTATTATTTTATAATTTATAAACCAATTAGTTTTCTCCTTAGTAATATTACAAATATATCATAATATTTACTGCAAATATTTTAGACACTTAGTTGATAAATTAAATTGTAAGACTTTAGTAATGGGGATTTTTGATTATTTTCGTTGGATTTCTATTTTTATTAACTTTATGCATTATAATTATAAATACTCGACAGTACTCATACATGTTTTAATAAGATATATTTACTAAAACTGTTGACCATTTTATCATATGTTAATTTTTGTTAGCATTTAGTTATATTTATATAGGCATTTAAATGTGTTAAGCATTTTTTTTTTAATTATCTAAAACTTGTAATGTGTTTAATTTATGTAATAAGTATTAAAGGAACCCAAAACTGTTAATATTTTTAAATACAATAATTCATAAATTTAATATACCTATGTTTAGTTATCATGTATAGGTATACTTATTGTAATATGGACATATGAATGTGTTATAATTTTAGATGGTGTGTTCTATTTTTTACACATGTCTGCAAAATAAGTTGTTTAAATTTTATTGAGACTATTTGTTGTTTTTTATTTATGGCTTCTCATTATCTATTTACAAAATGTGCGGTGTTTTATAAAATATACATAGTAAAAAAAATAAATATATACATATTGTGGCTCATATATAATGCGTAAAATATGTAGTTATTTTTTTTATATAGAATTGTCATAAAAAGAACCGTGTTACAATTGCATTCTCTTGATGTGTGAATTGCTCTCTTTCAATTCAATGTACTGAATAAAATATAGGTATATGTATGTAAAAATATAGTTTTATATTTTAATAAACAACTATTTCCTAGGGTCGTATGTATTTATGATTTTTACTTCAATTTTGTTATAATTTACATTTTTAATTTCAAGATCTGTCTCGAGCTCAACGTTTGGTATCCAGTTCACTACAGCAATTCGATTTCGAATGCATTGGTACGACTCAAACGGATGATGAGTTAGTAATAACTCGATCGTTGGCTGAATTTGGACGCCTCATCTCGTCTATAGAAGATGAAAGAGACAGAATGGTCAGTAAATATATACAACACCACCTTCTCGGGTAGTACACATATTTCTTTGGTTAAAGTAGGCCCTAGTTACTAACCTTGTATGCCAGTGAAAGTGTGACGAAGAGCATGACAAATTGACAGCCCAATTTAATGTAATGCACGTACAAGATAATATAATATTGCGTTTTATCATTTTATTTTGAAAAAATATTACATTATTGAGAAGTAAATACATGAATTAGTATACGTTTTTTCAGTATTTAACTTTTTAAATCGTTCAATTATTTAAGTAGTAAATTCCCTTTTTGTTGTCACTAATTAATTTCTTTATTTTAATTATAATCATTAATATTATCAACAGTTTCTTAAAATAATAAAATTTAAAAATCACTACACATCCACGTTTGAAAAATTTGTACTGTAAAATATATATCTACCTCCTCAAATGTTCTCCTGTGCTGAATTTAAAAAAATATAATTTTATAGAACAATAAAGTATATATATTTATGTATTTAGAAACATATTGATATATAAACAATTTTTAACTATATAAATGGTCTAATTTTTACATATTTAAGTTATTTTACTGTCTGAAATATAAAAACTGTTAAAGGACTATACAACTCTAAAAAACCATTTTTTTTTTATTGTGCAAATGTATACCTAGTACTTTAAAAAGAATAATTGTGATGGTCTAAAAATTGTTGTCAGACAATTGCTTCCGTTACATATATTTTCGTCGCGCCGTCGTCGAACGCGTTACAATGACAGTACTGTACTGTACTTTACAGCAAGGAGTGAAATACTCCGTATATCTATGATTCCTACTAATTTACCTTTCCAGTTTAAGGGACTTCAATTCCCCATTACAATTTCGTTCGCTATTACAATTAATAAAGCTCAATGCCAAACATTTCAATATGTTGGAATTGATTTGCGCTCTGTTTCTCACATGAACAGTTATATACGGTATTATCAGATAAACAGGTAAACCGGAAAATAAATTTATTATATTACAGATGGTTTGAAAATAAAAAATGTTATTTACTTAGAAAAATAAAAATAAAAAAATACATTAAAACAGCATTTAATTTTATATAAATATTTCAAAAAAGGTCATATTACATGCACTAATGACACATTAAGTAGGTTGTTATTACGATATTATTATGTTAATAAAAAAAGAAGTATCTAAAATTAAAAAAAAAAAAAATGATTAAAACAGAACAATATATGTATGTAACCTGCACAACGATTTTTACGTGGTTCAGTTTATATACATATATGTTACAGGCAAAGTATATAATTTGGGCATTTTATACATTGTCCGGACAATATATAAAATGCTCTTCGTATATTGGGCAATATAGATAACGGATGATATGATTTAATGAAATATGATAAATCGTAAAACATAGTTAAAATAAAGTCTAATTATTATCTGTAACTAGTTTGTTTGTTCTTATCGTATTTTTACAATGGGGATGTCCGATTGTCCACATATTATATGCGTGTACGTGACATAATATATTATTACTATATTTACTGATTTATAAGTTATATGTAGTTGTAGTGCTTATTGTGCAGTCGGTCTTTTGCTTATTCTCAAAAATGAACTATTTAGTAACCGTGAATCGTTTGTATAATACAGGTTAATTCATTCAGTGCGTACCTAACTACTTATTCGAATATGGAAAAGTTTAATGATAATTTAAACAATTTGTTAAAAAAAAAAAGTTTCAAAAACTTAATTTTTTACCAAATTAAAATTTGATCAATTAATTTTACATAAAAATCAATTAAAAAACTATTCAAAGAAAAAGAAACCGAATGATTATAAACTTTTAAAAAAATATGTAATAACCTTTTATAATAGTATAGTATTTATAGTAACCGCGAATCGTTTGTATAATGCAAATTAGTTAATTCAGTGCGTACCTATATAAAAATATCACCAGGGATATGATTATGCTATACTTAAATAGTTGCGAATCGTGTAAAAAAAAGGAAGCACAGCCAAGAAAGGATAGGTGGTGCAACCAATTATATCTACTTATATCTAATATAAATACATGTCATTATTCATTGATTTATCATATTTCATTAAATCATATCCGTTATCTATATTGACCAATATACGAAGGACATTATATATACTGCCCGGCCAATATATAAAATGCTCAATTTGTATAATTTGCCCGTAACATATATATATAAAAGAAGGATTAATTGTTGGTGATACAATGTTCACCGGGTCAAATATACCTATGAAAAATATAGCAAAGCTTTGCCGGATCAGGTATATAATAAAAAAGAAATCAAATAAATCCTAAACACTCAGTACTTAGATCACACAAGATAATTTCATCAAAAGTAAAAATATTTGATGCTCAGGGAAGTGGGCACGGGTCAGCTTGTATATATATATATATATATATATATATATATATATATATATATTACTGGCAATATAGATAATTCAAATAAAACATATGATTTTCAATATTATTTTACATATAACCTAGGTATTTTATAAAATGCCAATTTTTTTTTAGGCAAAGTACAAAACATTTTATTTTATGTTATATTACATTGAGATTCTTATAATTATTATACATTATTACTCATATTACAGATAAAATTTAATTTTTATCTATTATTATATTATTACTATTATATAAATATTTTACTTAAACTACTATTTACTTATTATAACATGTTGTAGAAAAGTAACATTTTGATTGAAGTACACAAAATATTATTTTTAAGGCAAATACACTTTTTATTTTGACACTTGAACTTACAAACACATTTTAAAAACTCTTGGCCAATTCTTGTAGATTCAATTTTTATCAACTCATTATACTGTTCATCAGATAAAAAACTAGTATTAGTGGCCAAATTTTTAAAAAAAAAATTTAGTTTTTTATAAAAATTTGACTTCATATAAGTCGTATGCATAGTTGCAACACCAAAACGAGACACGAAAATGACGATATTGTAATAAAATTATTAGTACGTTCAATATTGTACCTCAAAATTATTATTATAGTAGTAAGAAAATATTAATTTTAATTGCGTTAAATCGTGAATGCACATTTATGATAAACGATAAATAAAGTCGTTGATAATAGGCGATGTCCAATTTTGTTAGTTTTCTTCATATTGTCTATTCCACGATTGGCATTATACATATTACCTTGGCAAAACTCGTATTATGTATATTGCCGAGTGATTTTTGACATTTTGTATAATGCCTAGGCATTTTGCAAAATACCGGATTATCCATATTGCCAGTAACATATAGATATATCAATTATTGTTTGATTTTTGCTTAATATTTCTTTATCGCATTCAGTAATTTCAGATTTTTACTATTATTATAATATGGTAAAAATTCTTTATTATTCATATTATTTACTCTGATTTATATTAATAAAAAAATGTTTGAAACATTGGAGAAAAAATTCACAATATTCAATGGGCTTATTAGAAGGAGGTCAAATTGGCGATCGCTATTTCGCCAACCTGTCCGGCCGCCACTGATCGGGCGAAATAAATATCACTTATATAATTTAGATACAGCCCCTCGGACAGTTTGATTTTATGATGTACCAATAAAATGCGATTTATGTTAAAACTTGAGAGCAATGTTTGACAATAATTTTTAGATTACCAAAGTTATTCTTTTTTAAAGCACTATATTTTTATTCAATAAAAGTAAAATTGATTTTATATTAATTGTTCAGTCCTTTAAGATGAAAACTATTGATAATAATACTGTAGCATATATCCAATGTACCATTGTTTTGATATTTAGCAATTTATAGAATACTATTCCCCTTTATTGCATGAATTCTATCATTTTCGACACTCAATAAAATGTCAATTGATAAGTTATTTTTCTATTTATATATACTTAGGTATATTTCTACTTATACTTATACTTTTATATATATTTCTATTTATAATAAGATTATTTTATTTAATAACATTATCTAATATTATCTAAATATTTACCAATAGTATTTATGTATTCTAACTGCTTATTAATAAAATTATGAATTACAATGAATACAGTTTTCAATCAAGTATATTAATAAATAAATCAAATTAAAAACAAAATTTATTTTCTTTTATTTCAGCTTGCCAGAGCTTACGATCAATTCATAATTCCTTTAGAAAACTTTAGAAAGGAACACATTGGTGGTGTAAAGGTAAGATATTTACACGAATATAGTTTGTTTAATTTGCATGTATATTTGAATTTTTGGAAAAAACTTTGTATAGTTACATAGTTGTCTGTTACATACGTAATTACAAAATAAAGATAATACTATAACCAAATGTTTATTTTCTTAATCGTATTACAACTAAAGTAAATACGGCATAATTTACATAACATATACATATATATTTTATTAATTTATATTATAGATATAGTGTTTAATACATAAAGTAGTTAGTACCTAGTACCTATCTAGTTATAATATTGGAATAAGAATAGACGAGTCATTAGATTAATTAGTACTTGGAGACAAAACAATCATGTTTAAACATTCGCTAAAACACATTTATTGTCAAAAACTTAAAAATACTATACTGAGTACACGTACATATATGGTGATTTGTAATAATTAATGTCTAACGAACAATGGTCACGTAAACATTTTAAAAGAATTTTAAAATGTATATGTCATCGAAGAAAAATTAACTTTATGTTCAATAAATATAACTATTACGATTAGGTCTTGCATAGAGTTTCAGTTAGTCTTGCATATGAGGAAGAAAGGAGAATACCTACATTGTAAGATTATGTGAGTTGTATACTCGTATAAATTACAGTTAATCGAACCTAGATCAATATAAAACTAACTAAATATAAAAACATCGCGAAACTTTCTATAATTTGTACAAATATTTGATAGTTTACAATATTATTAAGCTGAACATAATTGTTCATTTCCTTGATTTCCTGTTCATTTTATATTGTTTGCTACGGGTATATACAAAAATACATTAGACGACTGGTAATGAATACGATAGGTTTTAGATAAAGTTAGGCTCAAAAGTAAGTATATTGAATTTATATCACTTAACTGTTGTGTTAGTCTGAAAGGCGATATTTTTGACAGCGTTATTATTATATCAATGTTATTTATTATATATCATACTTAAGATTGTATTTAAAATTTTTCCACTCAGGGGCTTTAATATTTTGCTGGCCCTCTTCCCTAAAGTGCAAAACTGAAAATAAGTATCTTCAACTATTCATTAAAAAATTACAAGGTACGCTCGCAATTCATTTTTCCCATTTTAGTTCACTATTACACAATATTTGTAGTTAATATAGACTTCAAAGTAATAACTGTCTTTTAATTACTTAAATAAAGTTGTAGAAAATTGTCTTTTATATAACTGATTGGTGGTATCCTTCGGTCTGAATATCCCATCCTCGTACAAATCAAGATTAAATCAATACTTATATCACAATAAAATCACGTGTTAATAAAATACTATTAAATAGATATACATTTTATATGCTACTAAATCTATTTATATATATATAAATAGAGCCAAAAATTTATAACAATTCATCAATTGAGAACGGCTGGTCCAATTTGACTCAAATTTTTTTTAATTGTTCGTAATTGTCAGGAGAAGGTTTTTACAAAAATTTTTTTTTTTGGAAAAACCCTTATTTTAAATTTTATTTTAACAAAAAATTTTAATGATTGATTTTTTGAGTTTCGGAATGTTTTTTCGAATTGAAAAAACTGCAGCAAACTTAAGCTTATAAAATTGTCCATATGAAATAAATTATCGTTAAAATGGGGCCGCCGGCCAACACCAAAAAAATGGATCAACGTGAAGAGTGAGTAACAGTGTTTGTTACCATACTCCTCCAAAACGGCTTAACCGATTTTAATGAAATGTTGTATATACATTTGGTAGGTCTGTGAATAGGTTTTTATCTATTTTTATACTCCTAAGTGCTATTGTTTAATAAATCGTAGTTTAATTTAATAATTTTTAACCTGGTCGATAACTGCGCAATTGAAAATTAATTATTAAATTATACTATTTAAAAACTATTAATTTTATTTTTTGTATTGAATGACGGGTATTGCATAAATATTAAACAACAAGATCCCGCAACAGGTACCAAAAAAAACAAGAATGTTAGTTCGAAGGATTATTATGCATATCGGTTGATCATTAGACGCGATCAGAACAACGTTATTCTGCGATGTCGTGAGCTTTGTCAACAGTTTATGGTCGACATGTATGTAAAGATAGAGAGCGAACGATTACGATACTTGCAAATTAATCAAAAAAAGCTGCGTGTGGAAAATCCTCAAAACAATTGTTAGATATCGGTGATGGGAAAGTTACTACGGATGAAACGGGATGCTTACGATTACCGACCGATTTTTGCACAATCATTGATTCGCAAGATGCTCTCATTGACCAGATATTTCTCAAAGTCCACAGACAATACACAAATTATGAGTGGCTGGCAGAAAAATCAATTTTAGCAGCAAAAAGTGTGGACGTCAACAAATTGAATCTCAAGATACAAAATTTGTTACTAGGAGACTTGGTGTCATACAAATATATTAATACAGTTAGCAATGCTACTAAAGTTATAAATTATCCAACAGAATTTTTAAACTCATTGGATTTACCAGGCATGCCATCGCATAATTTACAACTGAAGGTTGGATCTCTAGTTATTTTGTTTTGTAATTTGAAGTAATAGCGATTGTATCTGGATCAAGATTTAAAATATTTTATTTTATTTAATTCCAATATAATAATTGTAAATTAAATAAAAACCGTATTGAAATGGTATGAAATTGTGAAATATTTACAAAATATGTATTTACATCAAATTATGTGAAAATATGTAAAATAAAAAAGGTCTCATATTATTCAGAGTGTTATGAAACGTGCTTATTTTTAATCAGAATTGAGAAATTCAGATTCAATAAAATTATGTAATTACTTAAAAATCCGCGCCCTAGTAATCAGTAATTGAATTATATACTCGGTCTATGTTTTGACATTGCTTTGACTGTGAGTTTAACGTATATTTTATCAATTATTTCCTATTGATAACAAATGTGACAGTTAAAGTAATAATATAAGGCGTGAACCTTAATTCGGTGAGCTTAGTACACAGGGCGTATTAAAGGTCAATATATAAGGGCCAAAATTATTTATTTTTTTTGTCTTATTATAATTTAAGTTTCAAAACTGATGTTACAGAAATAAAAATAAATTAAATTAAAGAATATTACATTGTATAAATACTAAATAACATTATTTCCTTATTATTTATTTATCTGGTTCGGCTTTTATGTAAATCATTCATCCAATATGCTATTTTTTCTTTTAATTTTTGGGTACAATATTTTTTTTAGTACTCACCATTCTAAATTACTATATGCAGTTACGCAAACAGCAACTTACGAATTATCTATAGTATTGAACATTTTAAAATGATGATTTAATACAAATTGACTAGCGAATAGTGAGCTTGGGTAGCATCAGGCTAGCCGTAAAACGCTAGTGAGAACTTTTTTGTTTTTGTTATAAATCCGTAAATTTGTTTGTTACAGCTCTCCATGCTTCTCTATCGTAACAAAATTCTTTCAGGTCCCTGTAACTTCCTTTATTCGTGTCCTGCATTATCTGTGTCATGTATTCTGTTCTTGGGTCTTCCTCTTGCAATGTGTCCCTCAACATCTTCAATTATTTTCTTTAATAAACTTTCATGCCTTAATATGTGTCCTATTATCTTGCCTCTTCTTGATTGAATACTTTTCCATATTTGTCGTTGTTCCTTTATTTATCTAGTACTTCTTTATTTACTAACTTCTCAGTCCATGATATTTTAAGCATTTTTCTGTAGCACCACATTTCAAAGGCTTCTAACCTATTTTTTTCCGTTGAGTTTATTGTTCAGGATTCGGATCCAAAAAGCGCTACGCTCCAAATAAGGAATTTTTTTCTTATCTCCAGACTGACACTATTAGTAGTTAACTTTGGCTTTTGTCTTAAAATGCTCTTTTCACCTGTGCTATCCTGCAGATTATATTTGTTTTGCTGCGACCATCCTCTGTTTTATTGCTTCCTAGATATGTGAATTGTTGCACTTGCTTTATTCGTTCATTGTCGATATTTTTGTTGATTCGAACCGGATTTATTTTACTGCAAACCATAACTTTCGTTTTCTTTTTGTTCAGTTTCATTTCATACTTATTTTTTAATATTCTATCTATTGTTACTAGGGTATTTTGTAGGTCGTCTTCTTTTTCCGCACAGAAAGCTATGTCATCCGCAAATCTTAAGGCAGTAACCTTTGTTCCTCCTATTCGCACTCCTTTTTGTATTTCTGCTCTCAATTCTTTCATTGCCTCTTCAATGTTCAAGTTGAATAGCATTGGTGACAAGATACAACCCGGTCTTGCACCATTTTTTATTTTTACTTCTTGCTCTTTTTCATCTATCTGTATTATAACTGTTTGGCTTTTGTACATATTATAGATAAATCTTCTATCGTTGTATTTAATTCCTATTCTTTTTAATATTTTAAATAATTCTTTCCATTGTACATTATCAAAAGCCTTCTACAAAAGCAATGAAGGTTTCTTTGTTTCGTCTAATCTGTTTTTCTGTCATTATTCTTAGCGCTAAAGTCGTCTCTCTGGTTCCTATATTTCGCCTAAAACTAAATTGATCTTCTCCTAGGTTTACATCTATTGCTTTTTCTATTCTATTCTTTGTTACTTTTGTTATTATTTTTTAAGCATGCGTGTTGAGGTTTAAAGTTCTATATTTCTCACAATTCATTGTCACCTTTTACTTGGGAATTGTTACTATAATGCCTTTCTTGAAATCATAAATTATTTCCCCATTCAAATACATTTCGTTACATAAATTTCTAAGTTCTTTATTTACTTTTTCACCTGTATACTTTATTAATTCTGATGGGATTTTATCTATACCGCATGCTTTGTTGTTTTTAAGATTTTCTATAGCAGAATCAATTTCTGATTGAAGGATATAGTCTCCTTTGACTTCATTTTCTACGCAGTTCTCTTCTAGGACATTTCCACTAAATTGACTTGCATACAATTCTTCTGGGTATTCTTTCCATCTGTTTACCTTTTATTCAGCTATTATAAGTTTCTCATCCGTTTTACTTTTC